GTTCCTTGAAATGGAAGTTGCCCGGGGCGCTGATGGTATCGACTGGTCTGACTGGTGGGACTGGGGTCTCCGCTGGGCCCCGGGGCTGCCGGCAGGTGCTCTCCCACTTCAGCCATGCCCCCGGGGTGTTTTTGCGGTGGTGGTTTTGTTTTCGTTGGCCGGTGCGGTCTGTGTGGTGTGTGTCGCCCTCGGCCTCTGACTGGCCTCCTCCTCCCCATCGGGAGACGGGGTTCAGCTGTCAGGAGGGGACCCCAGCAGCCAAGGGGAAGAACCCCCCTCCCTCTAAAGACGTCCTCGCCGCACACCTGTCATCCGAGCCCGTTCCTGAGGCCGCGGGATCCGAGGATTGGAGGTTCGAAGCCAGCCTGGGCAGGAAAGTCCTTAAGGCTCTTACCTCCAATAAAGCACGCGAAAGCCAGCCATGGGGCTGGGCTGAAGTAGTAGAGCACCAGCCTAGAGCAAAACAAACAACCCCAAGCCAACCCAGAGGCAGCGGGGGTGGGGGGGGGACCTGGATTCAAGCCCTGGGACTGGCAGAAAAGGTGGGTGCGCTGGCTTGAACCCACCGACGAGCACTGGCGCTCTCAGCCCTAAACTATCAGTATTTTTTCTCCTCTTCTTCCCTCCCTTCTCTTCCTGCTTGTCCTCCTCCTCCTGCCCCCTCCTCTCCTCCTCCTCTTCTCCATCTCCTCCCCTCCTCCTCTTCCCTTCCTCTTCCCCTCCTCCTCCTCCTCATCCTTCCCTCTTCCCTCTTCCTTCTCCCCCCCCACCTCCTCCCTCTTCCTCTCCTCGGTCTTGCCCGCAGCGGAGGGTGGGCTGGGACTCTCTTGCGCCTCAGTCTCCCCTGCAGTGAGATCTGTCCCTCGCAGCTCTTGAGTGACCGGGTGAGCCTGCCCCTCAGGAGGGGAGGGACCTGCAGCGCGGGCTTCAGCCCTTCCTCCATCACCACGGGGCCGTGGAGCTGCCACAGCTGGGGCTTCCGACCCCCTGTGTACACTTCACGGCCTGGCCCGGTGACAGGGATGTGTCTCCGTGACCAGTTTTATTACTTGAGATGGGGTCGCGCCTCAAACCACGATCCTCTTGATTTCTGCTCCTCCAGGAGCAGGACTTACAGGCGGCAGGAGACCCGTGCCTGGCTGCTCAGATTCCCTCCAGAGCTGGGGATTGGGGCTGGGTGCTGTCCAGCGCCAGCGGGTTTTGAGTCCGCGTGTCTCCCGACACGGTGTGAGAACCTTTGCCTGCTCCTCATGGATGATCAGCAAACCGGATTGGGGTGGGCAGGAGACCCCCGTAGTGCCAGCTGGGGGTGGGGGGGGTTCCCTTTGTCCTGAGAGGTCTCATTTCTGCCTTGCCCAGCTCAGTTGCGCACCCCGATGTTAAACTCGCTTAGGATGGCGTGACGGGTGGAATTCATGCTCTTCCCTTTGTGTCTGCGACCTGTCCTGGGGGGGGTGCCAGAGCCCCCCTCCACCCCTGCACCCCGCCTCCGCAGCCACCTCCATCTACCCCCCAGCTACGGGCTTGGGGCTCAGAGAGGTGGCAGGACAGAGGGGAGGGCACACAGCATCTCTTGCTGGTTTTTGTTTGTTTTTGTGCCACTACTGAGGCTTGAACTCAGGGCCTTGTGCTCTTACTTGGCTTTTTTATTTGACTCAAGCCTGGTGCTCTACCACTTGAGCCACAACCGCCACTTCCAGCTTTTTAGAAATTATTATTGGTCCTGGGGCTTGAGCTCAGGGCCTGGGCGCTGTCCCTGAGCTTTTTTACTCAATGCTGGCATTGTTTTTTTTTTTTTTTTTTTTTTTTGCTGGTTAACTGGAGTTGAAGGGTCTTGTGGACTTTTCTGTCCTCCACTTTCCCATCCCAACTCTTCTGTCCTCAAGTCCCAGCCTCCGGAGTAAGGATTACAGGAGAGCGCACCAGTGCTCAGCCACAGAAATGCAGTCTGAAATGGCGCCCGGGGTGCGTGTGGGGGGCTTCAACCTCATCCTTCTATCTTTCCCTCTGGTCTGTTCTCCTGCCCCTCCCTCTGTGTCTCTGTCCTCATGTCTGTCCGTCCATCTCTCTCCATCTCACAGCATCACCTGGCCACGTCACCAGCTTTCCTGGGGTTCAGATGCCCGGGGATGGGGTGTCACAATCTTCCTTTGGCTCCTTGGCCGGCGACGGTCACTTAGTCATTCCTCTTTCTGCTTGCAGGGGAAGGAAGGCCTTGAACCTGGCCCTGGGCCTTGCCTTTCCTGCCACCCAGGCCCGGTGTTAGTCCCGGGCTTAGGGTGGGGGTGGGGGTGGCTCTCCCTGCCCCTCCGTCTTGGCTTCTTACACACGCCGTGCTCGCGGGGGAGAGAATTAGGACCCGAGCCACCGCCGGGTTTAGAGCTCTGAAATCCGAGCTGAGCAGCTGCTGCCAGCCTCCTCTCTGGAGGTCACCTGACCAGGGGGGGGGGAGGAGGCCAGGCAGGGCAGGGCAGGGCAGGGCAGGGCAGGCCTTTGTCCTAGGGGAGCTCTGAGTTCCAATTCCAACCTGCTTTTGACTTATTTT